GAGCTGTTGCATTGTGGTAAACTGTGGTCAATGACATGAGACAAAATATATGTGAACTGCTGTATGGAAAGTGAATTTGCTCTGTAAATCTTCACTCAAATCACAATAAATAATAATAATAAGAAAAAAGGTTCCTGAGACCCTGCACTGACTCTATCTCTGCCTTTTCTTTGCAGACATCACCCTGGATTGTGACATGAACTGTGAAGGCAGAGGGGACAGGAGCTTTGTGGACAAGGTAGGGTATCTCCGGCTGGGCCCAGGAAGGGGGAGTGGAGTTTGGAGCTGCTCTCAGGCCAAGTTAAGAAGGAACAAGGGCATTACAAGCATCCCCTGCCTCCAGATGATGCCTACTTCAGCTGAGGCAAATGGAAACCAGGCATGGTTAAGAGTCTTCTTTCACCAGGAGAAAAGCTATCACTAAGAATTATCATGTACAGATGTGCCCACCCCTGGGGTAGGTCTTGGTTTGTGGGGGAAAGCCCTTCAAGACTCAAATTTAGGTCAGGGGTTGGCAAACTTCTTCTATAATAGCCAGATAGTAAACATCTTGAGATATGTAAGCCATATGATTTCCATCACAACTACCATGACCACTGTGGGAGCAAAAACAGACATAGACAGTATATAAACAAATGGGTGTGCCTGTTCCAATAAAAGAAGCTCTGGTGGCATAGTGTCTAAGACACTTGACTGCTAACCAGAAGCCTCGCAGTTCAAACCCACCAGCCACTCCTCGGAAGGAAGGTTGGGCAATCTACTTCTGTAGTGAACCTCACCTCAGAAACCCAAGGAGGGGTTGCCATGAATTGGATACAACTCGACAGCAGTGGGTTTAGTTTGGTTTTGGTTCCAATGAAACCTTCTTTACAAAAACAAGCAGTGGGCCTGATTTGGCCCATGAGCCATAGTGAGCTGACTTCCTGATCTAGGTGAAAAGTTAAATCTATGGCAAGGGGCAAAGTTCAGTTTTTGCTTTTAGCAAGCATGAAACTTTTAAAGAACTTTGGGCTGAATTGTGGTGGTGCTTCATGCATTGGGAGCTCAGAGGAAAGAAAGGTCAATGTGGGCCAGGTGAGCTAGGAAGAATTCCTGGAAGGAAGTGCATTTGAGTTGGGCTCTAAAGGGATGCAAGAGAGAGGGTGAAGGAACAACAGGAGAAATAAATGTGATGTGAGGTGTATGATCATATAACCAGGAAGTTGTCTACTGAGAGAAGGGATGCTGTCTGGAGACACATCATGAATACAGGCATGAAGATGACTGTGTAGTTTGGACTTGATATAAGGAGCTCTGGTGGCATGGTGCCTAAGGCATTTAACGGCTAACCAGAATTTGGAGGTTCAAACCTACCAGCCACTCTGTGGAAGGAAGATTGGGCAATCTACTTCTGTAAAGAGTTACCACCTTGGAAAGCCAAAGGGGGTCACTATGAGTTGGAATCAACTCGATGGCAATGAGTTTGGTGTTTGTTTGTTTGCTTGATGTGGGCAATAGGAACTGCTGGGTAGTGGGAGGCATAGGTCTGACCAGAGTCCCATCACCCACTATGTTTTTCCATCTGCAGCGGCAGTGGGTCTGGGGGCCCAGTGGGCATGGAGCTATCTTGCTGGTGAACTGTGACCGAGATGATAGGAGATGTGGCAAACGGGACAACTGTGACCAGCACGTGAGCTGTCTACAAGGTGAGGGGGCAGGGCATCTTGTGCCCTTGGTGTCCAAAGTCACTGCTCAGTGACCCTGCAGGGATTCCAACCCCAGGCAGGAGTTCTGAAGGCAGAGCTGGGGGCCACAGTCCCAGCCCCAGGGACACTTCAGTGTCTCTAAAACCCTGTCACAGGCAGGCATTGCCCTTCCCTATTACTCCCAGTGCCAGGGGGAGCAGAGAATGTTAGCATTGTTCAAACACCTACTGCATGCTGAGCCTATTCCCAAAATTCTTATTTAGTTCTCAAAGACTTATGACCAAGACACATGTAAGATGTATGTGAAATAGGAAGGTGTCATCACCATGGAGTCCCTGAGTGGTGCAAACAGTGAATGCTCTTGACTGCTAACCAAAATGTTAGAGGTTCAAGTCCAGCCAGAGGCACCTTGGAAGAAAGGCCTGGTTCTACTTCCAAAAAAAAAAAAATCAGCGCTTGGAAGCCCTATGGAGCACACTTCTACCCTAACACATATGAGGTTGACGTGAGTGGAGGTGACTTGACGACAACTGGGATACTAGTATCATCACCCCAATTTAGAGGTGAGGATGCTGAAACTCAGAGGTCAGGAAACTTCTGCAGTCACATAGCCAGTTGATGGCAGAGCTAGGCCTTCCTCTTCTGATCTCAAATCCCATCTCCTCCCCGGCTGGCCTGGATTTCAGGGATGCTTCACATTCTTCCAAGTCCAGCTGTACCTAGGTTAGCGGACTGTGAGAAGGACACGACTATGCCTGTGGCATGTGCCAGGTGCTCCACACCTGCGACTGTCATAGCTGCCTTTGAATGTGAGCACCACTGTCCCCTATTTCACAAGTGGGGAAGCTGAGGCCCACGGGTGAGAGGGAAGGGCTTGCTCAGCATCACACAGCGAGTGAACACTGGGGCTTAGACTGGAGCCCTCGCCTGTGTGACACTGAGCCCTGCCATGTGCGAGGCACTGGGCTGTCTGTGTACCCTTCGTGTTTCTCTGGGCAGATGAGGAAACAGAGGCCCAGAGGGACATGAAGTAGCTTAACCTGTTACACGTTGATATATGTCTAAGTGGTTTGCTCTTGATAACTGCAATGTCTTCTTTGGAGGAGTAGAGTTAGGAGGGAAGACCTAAGTCTTGGGACTCCCTGTCTTGGGAAGGGAGATGATGATGTCAGAGGACTGGATGGACCAGTGGCCAGGACCAAGGACCCCCTAACTTGTCACACCTGTCTGTCTTCACAGACCTGGAAGACATGTCCATCATGGTCCTGAGGACCCAGGGCCCTGCTGCCCTCTTCGATGACCACAAACTAGTCCTCCACACCTCTCACTATGATGCCCAGCGGGCACGTGTCTTCCATGTCTGTGGTGAGTTCACACTCACTCCCCCTTGCTGCCCAGGAGGCCCCAGGTCCCTGCCTGGGGTCAGTGGGCAGGCTCCTCCAGAACTCACAGGAGATGCCTTGGGGGTCAGAGGAAGTACGGTGGGATGGGGGAGATTTGGGCTGATCAGCTGGTATCTCGGCATAGTACCTGACCCAAGATCATTTTATTGTGTGAATGAATTTTTAATTTAATTTCAGACATTTTTAGAAATTTTTATTATGAAAAAATTCAAACATGCACAAAAGTAGAGAGAAAAGTGTAATAAACTGCCTATGTCCATCACCCAGATTCAACAACCAGCAATATTCTTCCTCTCTTGTCACATGCATTAATTTTTCTTTGCTGAAGAGTTTTAAGCCAATCCCAGACATTGTGGATTTTGCCTTCGCATAATTCAGCATTCATTCCTTGAAAAAATGCTTTACATAGTCACAATGCCATCTTCACAGCTAATACAAGTAAGGATACACATGACCTTTAAAAAATACAACTGTATGTGAGAGGTCTAAATGCTCATTTTTCAAAGATCAAACAGTACAGACGTTGTTAGTTGCTGTTGGGTTGCTCTGACTCATGTCAGACAGAATGAAACACTGCCTGGCCCTATGGCATCTTCATGATTGTTGGTGTGCTTGAGTCCATGGTTGCGGTTACTGTGCCAACCTATCTTATGGAGGGTTTCCCTCATTTCCGTTGGTTCTCCATTTTACCAAACATGAAGTCCTTTTGTTAGGATTGGTCTTTCCCGATGATGTGTCCAAAGTAAGTGGGTCAAAATCACACCATCCTCGCTTCTGTTATGGTGTCCATTGCACTACCTGGGCCCACCAGCAATCATGGCTGCTGGTCTCTTCCCCCCAACCAGGTCCCGAGGACTCATGTGAGGCCTACCTGCATGTGCTGGGCCAGGACAAGGTGTCATACATGGTGCCCCGCTTCCATGGGGACGAGGAGCGTTTCTTCGTGGAAGGCCTCTCCTTTCCTGACGCTGGCTTCTCTGGGCTCATCTCCTTCCACGTCACCCTGCTGGATGACTCCAATGAGGTATGGGGTAGCCGGGAAGGGAGGTTCAGGAAGGGGCTCCATTCCCGGGAAACAGAGGAACCACTGGTGCTGAAAACTTCAGACTTCTCGACCACCTAGCCAGCTCTTCTCCAGAGACTAAGACTCAGAGAAGCAAGTAACCTGCTCAAGGGTGATAGTAGTGGAATTGGAACTCACACTCAGGCCTCTGGACTCTGAGTCCACTGCTCTTTCCTCTCTGGTTCCCCCTGCAGGATTTCTCTGAGACCCCAGTCTTCACTGACACTGTGGTATTCCGTGTGGCTCCCTGGATCATGACACCCAGCACTCTGCCACCCCTGGAAGTATATGTGTGCCAGTGAGTCTGAGGCGGTGGTGGGCATCCTTCTGAGTCTGATGGCCCCTAAGGCCCCAGACTCAGCTCTGTTCTGAACCACTCTCTCTGGGCTTGTCCACAGTGTGAGGAACAACACGTGTTTCGTGAATGCAGTGGCAGAACTGGCAGAGAAGGCCGGCTGCAAGTTGACCATCTGCCCACAGGATGAGAACCGCAATGATCGCTGGATCCAGGTAACTGTGGCCACCACGCAGGGCCCAGCCAGGACTCTGCCCTATTGGAAAAGGCCAGCCCACTCAAAGCTGAGGCCACTCAGCGATATTGAGGACAGCCTGACACTGTGATCTTCCTCCCAAGCCACTGCTCTTTCTAACTCTAGATACAGAACTCTCTTCCTCACTCTAGAACTTTCTGGAGATCAAGGCACACACTGCTACTGGATTTAACACCCATTCAGCCATTGGATTGGGGGTAGGTGTGGGGCTGGGCCTGAAGGGGAGGACAGAGATGCAGGCATCCACTCCCTGTTCTCAATAGCCTAGACCAGTGTTTTGCAATGGAGGTGATTTTGCCCCAGAGGACATGTGGCAATGTCTGGGGCCATTTTTGGTTGTCATACTGGTGGGCAGGGGGTTGCTATTGGCACCTAGTGGGTAGAGACCAAGGATGGAAGATAAACATCCCACAATGCACAGGACAGCCCTATGACAGCCTCAAACTTCTATTTTGCTGAGGCTGAGAAGTCCTGCTCTGGTGAACGATTGTGACAAAACCCCCTTTCCTGCACTATAAGATGTACCAGGGTGCGAGCAGTGCACCAGCAGGACTTGGAGGAAGGTGGCATCATCTCTGTGCTGGACCAGATTTTACGAGTGCACTGATAATGGTCCCTACTATTTATCAAGGAGCTCTGGTAGCATAGTGGCTAAAGCACTTGACTGCTAACCAGAAGGCTGGTGGTTCAAACCCACTAGCCACTCCTCGGAAGGAAGGTTGGGCAATCCTACTTCCATAGTGATACTGCCTCAGAAACCCAAGGAGGGGTCGCTATGAGTCGGGGCCGACTCGACGGCACATAACAACAACAACAACAACTATTTATCAAGGTTTACTGCAGTGTGTATGTCATTTCTCATTTTGTCTTCTTGACAACCCTATAATGTCGCTATGAGTCAGAATTGACTCAGCACCAGTGTTTTGTTTTCTAATAATTACCCCTAGAGTCCCTAGTGGTTCTCAACTGCTAACCCAAAGGTTGGAAGTTCGAGTTCACCCAGAGACGACTTGGAAGAAAGGCCTGATGCTCTTCTTCCAAAAAGAAAGCCCAGCTGTTGGAAACCCGATGGAGAGCAGTTTTACTTGGACGTGCATGAGGTCACCATGAGTCACAATCAACTCAACAGCAGTTTATATATAATCTATCTATCTATCCAAACAGTATCTCTATATATCTATATCGATCTATCTATATGTAGATGTAATATATTTACCGGGAGACCTTAGGCCACTGCAACTCCTCTCTGGGCCTCCAGCCCCAGCTTGGGGCAGCAGGCATCATGGACCTGGTGACCCAAGAGAGACACAGAACTCATAAGAATAATCTTTCCCAATGTGCCCAGTGTGAGCCAGTAGGTGAAGCTGTTGACTAACCACAGCTGGCATCTCTCTGTTCACAGGATGAGATGGAGCTGGGCTACATTCAGGCGCCGCACAAGACCTTCCCAGTGGTCTTTGACTCCCCACGGAATGGGGAACTGCAGGACTTTCCTTATAAACGAATCCTGGTGAGTGGTCCCAGGCAGCCATGAGGGCCGAGGCACCATTACCCCTAGGGCCACACCACGGTGTAGAACACAGGGGCCACATTGAAGACCTTTCTCTTTGGGGATAGGGATAGGCTTGCCAGATAAAATACAGGACATCAGTTAACTATGAACTTCAGGTAACAACAAATAATATTTTAGCATAAGTTGTTGTTGTTATGTGCCATTGAATAGGTTCCAACTCATAGCAACCCCATGGACTACAGGACAAAGCACTGCCCGATCCTGCACCATCCTCAGAGTTGCTGCTACATTCGAGTCCATTGTTGCAGTCATTGTGTCAGTCCATCTTGTGAGGGTCTTCCTCTTCTTCACTTACTCTCTACTTTAGCAAGTATGATGTCCTTTCCTAGGAACTGGTCCCTCCTGATAACATGTCCCAGGTATATAAGACAAAGTCTTGCCATCCTTGCTTCTAAGGAGCTTTCTGGCTGAACTTCTTCCAAACAGATTTGTTCTTCTGGCAGTCCATGGTATATTCAATATTCTTTGCCAACCCATAATTCACATGCATTTACTCTTCTTCCATCTTCCTTATTCATTGTCCAGTTTTCACATGGATATAACGCAATTGGCAATACCATGGCTTGGATTAGATGCACCTTAGTCCTCAAAGTTACTTTAGCTTTTCAATACTTTAAAAAGGTCTTTTGTAGCAGGTTTGTCTAGTTTAATACATCATTTGAATTCTTGACTGCTGCTTCTGTGGGCATTGATAGTGGATCCAAGTAAGATGAAATTCTTGACTAATTCGATCTTTTCTCCATTTATCATGATGTTGCTTATAGGTCCAGTTGTGAGGATATTTGTTTTCTTTATGTTGAGGTGTAATCCATACTGGAGTCTTTGATCTTCATCAATAAGTGCTTCAATTCATCTTCACTTTCAGCAAAGTTGTGTCATCTGCATATTGCAGGTTGTTAATGAGTCTTCCTTCCTCCGATCCTGATGCCGTGTTCTTCTTCATATAGTCTAGCTTCTCAGATTATTTGCTCAGCATACAGACTGAGTAAGTATGGTGAAAAATATAACCCTGACACACATTTTTCATGATTTTAAGCCATACAGTATCCTCTTGTTCTGCTTGAATGAATCCTTTTGGTCTACGTACAGGTTCCTCATGAGCAGAATTAAGGGTTCTGAAATTTCCATTCTTCATAATGTTATCCATAATTAGTTATGATCCACATAGTCAAATGCCTTTGCATAGTCAATAAAGCACAGGTAAACATCTTTCTGGTGTTCTCTGCTTTCAACCACAGTCCATCTGACATCAGCAATGATACTTTTCATTCCATATTCTCATCTGAATCTTACTTCAATTTCTGGTAGTCAATGTACTACTGGAACCATATTTGAATTATTTTCAGCAAAATTTTACCTGTCTGTGTCATTAATGGTATTGTTGAATAACTTCTGCATTCTGTTAGATCATCTTTTTTTTTTTTTTTTTTATGAGCACAAATATGGATCTCTTCTACTCAGTTGGCCAAGTAGCTGTCTTCCAAATTTCTTGGCATAAATGAGTAGTACTTTTAGTGTTGCATCCATTTGTTGAAACATCTCAATGGGTATTCCATCATCTCCTGGAGCCTTGTTTTTCACCAATGCCTTCAGTCCAGCTTGGACTTCTTCCTTCAATACCATTGGTTCTTGATGATATGCTTTCTCCTGAAGTGGTTGAACACTGACCAATTCTTTTTGATACAGTGACTTTTGTATTCCTTCCATCTTCTTTTGATGCTTCCTGTATCATTCAATATTTTGCCCATAGAATGCTTAAATATTGCAACTTGAGGCTTGAAGTTTTTCCTCAGTTCTTTCAGCTTGAGAAATGTCGAGCATGTTCTTCCCTTGTGGTTTTCTAACTCCAGATCCTTGCACATTTCATTATAACACTACTTTGTCTTCTCGAGCTGCCCTTTGAAATCTTCTGTTCAGCTCTTTTACATTGTCATTTCTTCCAATTGCTTTAGCTACTTCCCATTTAAGAGCAAGTTTCAGAGTCTCTTCTGACATCCATTTTGGTCTTCTCTTACTTTCCTGTCCTTTTTAACAACCTTTTGCTTTCTTCATGTATGAAGATGTCCTTGATGTCATCTCCCAACTTGTCCTGTCTTTGGTCATTAGTGTTCAATGTGTTAAATCTATTCTTGAGATGGATTCTAAATTCAGGTGGGATATACTCAAGATTGTACTTTGACTCTCATGAATTTGTTTTAATTTTCTTCAGCTTCAACCTGAACTTGCATATGTGCAATTGATAGTCTGTTCCACAGTTGGCCCTTGACCTTGTTTTGACTAATAATATTGAGCTTCTCCAATTTCTCTTCCCACAGATGTTGTCTATTTGATTCTATACATCCCTTCTGGTGATGTCCACATGTAGTTGTCATTTATATTGTTGAAAAATGGTTTATGCAATGAATAAGTCATTGGTCTTGCACAAGTCTCTAATGCAATTTCCAGTGTTGTTTCTAGCACCAAGGGCATAACTTTCAACTACCAGTACTTCAACTATTACATTGGATATCCTTATACTAAAAATAATTGTTGTTTATCTGAAATTCAGAATTAACTATTGTCTTGCATTTGTATTTGCTACATTTGGCATCCCTAGAGGTGGGGGACAGGACAGTACAGTTGTGAAGAATGTAGGCTTTGAGGTTGGGACAACATGGTTCTGCCACTCATGTGCTATGTGACCTTGAAGTAAATACACACACAAACACACACACATATATATATATAGGAGCTCTGGTAGCCTAGTGCCTAAGACACCTGACTGCTAACCAGAAGGCTGACGGTTCAAACCCACCAGCCACTCCTCAGAAGGAAGATGAGGCAATCTACTTCCATAGTAATACTGCCTCGGAAACCCAAGGAGAGGTCACTATGAGTCAGGCCTGACTTGACAACAC